TATTTATTTTTATAAATTTTAAATATAATTTATATATTCAAACATAATATTTATTTGTATGAATAATTTACTAATATTTTAATATGTACAATACAAAGATTAAATATTTATTATATAATTAAAATTTAAAATAATTAAATATATAAATAAATACTATGTTTAAATATATTAATTATATTTAAAATTTAAATAAGTAGATATTTTGAAACCTATAACTTATATTTTATATTTATAATAAATAGTTTATATTGTAGTATACGATTATTTTTATTTATTAATAGTTTATTTTGAAATATTAAAGTTTAACTCATAAATAATTATGGTAAATAAAATTTGAATTAAATATACAGTTAAAAAAGTCTTTAAAACCTCTTTCATTAATGAAAAACTCTTAAAAATATTCTTAAATAAGATAATCATTTGTATTTTATATATAAGAGTTAATTATCAATTTTGATTATATATAATAAATATTAATATATATAATACACAAGTTAAAATGTTAGTTATTTTTTAAAATTTAATATCAAAATTTATTTATTAATAAAGAGGTTGAATTTGATGTTTTTAATATGTTATATAAACATATTATTTTAATCGGTAGAAAAAATTACAATGAAAATAATAATATTTAAAACCTAGGACAATTGTCCATATTACTCAACTTTACTCACTAAGTCAATTCTATTTGGTCATTTAAATTTCAAAGACACATTTATTATTAAAAGAGTGATTATTTTTTGACAGGTTTAATATATATATTTTTTTATAATTTTAAAAATTTTATTTTTTGATTCCTAAAGTTTCAATTATCTCCATTTTAGTGCTTATACTTATACATAACATTTTTTTTCCATTTTAATCTGATTGTCTATTATTATAGAGTTTAAAATGGAAAGTCTATAGAATTATATATAGAGACTAAAACATAAAGTTTATGTACTTCTAGAAACTTAGAAAAGAAAGTTTATATACTTAAAAGATATATGTATAGAAACTAAATGAAAAAATTTTAATTATAGGAAAAACTTTATGAAAATAAAATAACTAAAAAAGAAAATAAACTTTTTAAAAATTTATTAGACACATGCATAAGTCAAATATGCTCAATCAGTAACGAGATTTGAGTATGAATCTTTTGATATGTCATTCAAAAACATTATTAAATATATGTCCAAGAAAAATAATAACTAAATATTAACATATTGAAAATTGTTAACAATATTCGTTAAGTAAAGTGAAATAAATAATTTCACTTTATGAATATAAAGAAAAAAAATTGTCGAATATTTAATAATTTATTAAACTATTATATTAAATTTAACTAATGCTTTTTTAATGCATCAATGAATATAATTCTTATTTTATTTTGTACATTATTAAAATTTATACAAAAAATGAGTTTTAAGGAAAATAATTAATAAATATTTTAAGAAATTTTTTCAAAGCAAAATATTGAGATTTCCATATAATAATTAAGCATTTAATTTCATTAAATAATTAAACTCTTTTTTATTTAGGTATAGAGGCATAAATTGTATATTTCTTTTATCAACTATTGTAATGGAAATTATATGTTTATTAATTTTGGAGTGTAAATATTTCATTGAAATAGTCTGTACTTTGGAATTTTTTGAAATTGAAAATAGAATGCAATTATTAGTTTGCTTAATCTTCGAGGTTAAACATCGTTGGTTAATAATTAAACTTTTTTAAGTAGTCCAGCATATAGTTCGCTTAATCTATCGAGAGATGTCTTTATTACAAAAATAAAATTTGATTTTCTTAATAACTTGTTTTGTTTAAATTAAATCCTTTTGATTTCAATTTTAACAAATATTATTATTTTTAAATACTAACATTGTAAGGTAGAAAAGTAATTTGACGTAGAGAAAAAAATATCGGCAACTATTATTTATTTAAATTGATGAGAATTTACTCTTGGAATCTAATTTTAAACAACACCTTTAAAATGAAAATATCATAGGAAAAAGAGAAAAAAAATCAGTAATTAATTTATTTATAATCACTCATTTATTTAAAATTTTGAAATTAATTTATAAAAAATATAAAAAGATAATTTAAAAAAATAAATTGAAATAAATAAATATTTAAACAAAAATTATAAAATATTTTTATTAAATAAAAATTCATTAAAAATAGTTATTGTCATGTATATATAAGGTGAGAAATTGTATTCTCAATTCTCAAGAGTTTTATCACCGAATATATTTATCGAAATAATATAACCAAACAATATAATTAATATTATTTAATGTTTTTAATGCAAATTTTAATTAGTGTTGTGACGTAGCAGGTTGATGTTTTAGTAGCCCAGAACGGGCCGTTCCCAATCTGGAACGGGCCGTTCCAAGCTATTAAAATGGCCAGAAAATCGTAGCTGAGAACGGGCCGTTTTGGAGAGAGAACGGGCCGTTCTGGAGGGAGAACGGGCCGTTCCGGATGGAGAACGGGCCGTTCTGGTAGGGAGTACAGGTCGTTCTAGTTGAAGAACAGGCCGTTTTGGATGAGAACGGGCCGTTCCAATTTCAGAACGGGTCGTTCTGCATGTAATTTTTGTACGTGTTGAGGGGGTGCAGAACGGGCCGTTCCAGTTTCGGTACAGGCCGTTCTGGCCACTCCGGAATGTCTATAAATAGGGGCTGTGGGCAGTTGAGGGGAGGAGGTTTTTTTAGAGAGAGGTTCTAGAGAGAAGGGCTCTGGACTGGGAAGCTGACCTTTGAAGGATTGAAGTTCCGGGCTGAGCTTCGGAAAGGGGATTTCGCTTCTTGGCTATCCTGATCCAATCTTCAAGTAAGGGAAGCTAGTTGAGGTTAAGTTGATAAGTTGTTATAGGTGTGGACATGTTTATGTTGTAAAGTGGTTGATTATGCTGATTAATATTGTTAATGTTGTATGATGAAAAGTCGAGTTGTGAAGTATGTTGTTTATGCTGTTAATGATGTAACGCTGAGCCGTACTGTATGATGCTAATACTGAATTTCGTTGTTGAGCTGATTAATGATGAGTTGTGCTGTGGGATGTTCATGCTGAATCATGATATTTAAGTAGTCTTGTATAATATTGAGCTGTTTTGATGAAAACGGGTTTTTAGGGTTTCCGGGGTTTTGATGAAAATCTTGAGGTTTTCTTGATTGTGGCTGCATGTGGGTAAAACTGGGATTTTTGAGATGGTTGATGAAAATGGGAACTCTTGGCTGGATTGCATGCTGGTTTTCTGCCTGTTTTTGCAGGATTTGGTGAGGTTTTTCGAAAATAGAGTGTTGCTACTGAGCTTCGCGCTAGGCGCTGTTCTTCGCGCCGGGCGCGCGACCACCAGGAGACTCTATTTAGGCAAGCCCACCGGGCGCAAAGGTGTGTGCGCCGGGC